AATGCACTTTTAATACGAAAAATTAAAAAAAAATTGACAAAAAAATGTTAAAACAAAGAAAATTGCGGCTAATCTGCGACGGTAAGCGCGCTCATTTGTTTATGTATTCATTGTCGGCGTTTAAATATCAAATGTTTGTCACAGTTATGCCGCTAAATGTTCTGGCAGCTCTTATGTTATGCGACTAAAAGAAAAACAACAACAAATAGTCGTGTCAAATATGCAAAATAGTGCTGGTGGTGACGAACTTGGTGTGGCTGGGGACAGCTTAGAAAGTGTTTCGAAAGTGGAAGGGCTAAAAACACCGAACGATGTCACAAAAAATTATTGCCACATTATTTTCAAATAAAGTGAGAACTATTTATGTGCAGTTTTGGAACCAAAAAATCTTCTCCGGATCTGTACATGAGTCTAATTAAGCTGCATACTCTATATTTCAACGATTATTTCCTTAAAGAGTTGTGATACTTTTGTAATTACATATTATTTTCATATAAAATTACCAGCTGAGCAATGAATAAAAAGATAAAGTTTTGTAAGTTTTTAAAATATATTGCGGAAATCATCAATACATAGTTTTTTTGGACAACTTGACAACTATTCACTAATTGAGTCAAATTAAAACTTGACTGTCTCAACTTAAATTATTTAAAACTGAATTGTCTTAACTAATTTTGTTAACTAATTGACTCAATTGAAAACTTAACTGCCTGAACTAAGTGTTTCTATTTAAAGCGGAATCGTTTAAACTATTAAAATCGTTAATTCAAAAAATTTAAAACTTAATTGCCGCAACGAATTGCTTCAATTTATAAATTACTTGGCTCAATTGATTCAATATAACACTTAATTGACAAGATTTTAAACTAATTGTTTCTATTTGAAAGGAATGGTTTTAATTAATTGATTAAATTTAAAACTTAATTGTCTCAACTAATTGTGTCAACTTAAAACTTAATTGGCAAAATTTGAAATTTATTTGACTCGGCTAATGAACTCAATAGAAAACTTAATTGTGGCAACACATTGACTCAATATTAAACTTAGTTGAAAAAATTGTTAATTTATTTGACACTCAATTGAAAAATTAATTGTCTGAACTTAATTATTTGATCGGAATTATTTAAACGAATTGTATAAATTTAAAACTTAATTTTTACAACTAATTGACTCAATTTAGAACTTGAATAAGTTTTCAATTGAATCAAATAAATTTCAAATTTTGTCAATTAAGTTCAAAATAATTAAGTTATTATCTGAACTCATTGTTTCCATATGAAGCGGAGTTGTTTTAAGTAAAAACTTAATTGTTTCAACTAATTGACTCAATTAAAAACTTAGTTGACTCAATTTAAGGCTTACTTGTGTCAACTTCTGGAATTGATAAAAATTACTAAAACGAAATAAGTTTTCCACTTCAGCTTCATAAACATTAATTTTACACTTAACTCCACCTCAACTCATTTTTATTAATTCATTAATAAAAAAAAAATTGTTTTCTAGTGTTTTCCCATCCTAATTGACTTGTTTGAATTTATGTACATTTGTATTTTGTTGCTTTTTAACATTTATAATCGCTTTTACCTTTCTTATTTGTTTATAAAATATTTGGAAAATGAAGCATAAATATTTCGTGGAAAAATATTGAGTTGGAAAATATTGTATTCGAGTTAAACAGTTTTATAAAAAAATGGATGGTATCTTAAATATGATCAGCATAGCTGAGTTGAGTATAATTGTCAAAGTTGAAAGAGACAACAACGACTTACACTGGAACGCATAACTGATTATAACCTATGACTCAGTATATTCTTCAACTCCTCTTTTATATGAAAATTACTGTGTTTATGGAAAGAGGAACGACAGCACGAAATTAAAATATGTTATAATCCTATTTTGGTATCTCTCTGCTCACTTGGATTCTCCTTTTTAGCTTACTTATGATATTGTAAACATTCGTTAAGTGGTTTGAAAGCAAAATCGTTAATCGTGCTATTAAAAAATATATTCTCCTAACGCAAATCTAGTTATGGAAACTATATGGAACTGCACAATTTATTAATTTCAGACGTCATTTATATTTATTATTTTATACAGGTAATTTATCTATATAAATTTTATTATCCTTTGATTAATTTATGTAGTCGCGTTTTCATAAAATTTATTACACTTTTACTTGTTCACATAATACTAAAATTATTGTGAAAATAAAAAACGAAAATTTAAAATTCCGTGGTTAACGGCGGTGATTTCACTTGTTAAGCTGGAATCCTTTTAACTATGCTGTAAATATTTGTCACCAGCAACTCGGAGTCGTAAAGTGCCGATTTGCTATGCACGAATATTTGAGTGTCTGTGTTAATAGCGCATTTAATAGTTTAATAATAAATAATAATATATATTTATAATAAAAGCATGTTGACTTTGAAAAAGTTATTAAAATGTGAGCATTAAACTTGCATTAAAAACAAGAGTTCCTCGTAAAATTGCGCGGCAGAGTGCCACACTTGTGCTGCTGTTTGCCGTTGCTTAAAACCACCAGCGTTGACGTTGGTGCAATAAGAGTAATGTCGGCCACCACATATGTAAGTGTTTATATGTGACCATGACAGGCTTAAGTGTTACAGGTGGGCAATTGTGCTTATTTTTATGCGTCATTTGTTATTAGTGCGGCACTTTTGAAGGATTTTTGTGCTCTGCAAGGACTTACTTTTAAAGGGTTAATTTTCGTATTTTTATTGCGTGGCGATTAGCTTATTTGCACAGGTTTGCTTATATGATATTGTGAACATGATTGTTTAGCTATTTGGCAGTGATTTTTATGAGAAAATTAATGGAAGGTGCTGGAGGAGGAGAGAAGAACAGAATATTGCCTTTGTTAAGTAGCAAAAGGGAGGACAGAGCTGAATGTGCTAAATTGTAGCTTTAAAACAGGGTTTTGTTGAGCATAAAATATTTATGTATCTTCTTAAATTCATAAACTAGCTCACTTTTGAGTCATACTTGAGGCTCCGAGATATATTTATTAAACTTATTTCTCTAATGAAAAGGGTATCCATAAAGTTTGTCACGATGTTCATAAAATCCAGAAGGAAAGGACGAACCCTGTGAAATATACATATATATATATACGATCAACGTGACGAGATGGGTCGATTAAGCCATGTCCTTCCTTTAGTCTGTACTAGTACTTCAGTTTTTAAGATATTGAAGATACTAACTGTCACGAGGTTTTCTTACAAGGATTAAGCCAATATGCCAAATTTATCGTACGCGGACGAAGTGAGCTTTCGCAAAGTTAAGTTATGTTGGTACTAGGTGAATACAATGAGTTAGCTTGCTAATTTACAGTTTTACCGCTTCGTACAAATGAATTTAACGTTGTAAAGGTATGTCTTTCTATGGCAGCTTTTAAAAAGCTACAAAAGTTCTGCCAAACTTGAATCGAGCTTTGAGGCACCAAAGTCTACTATTTTTTCCAAATAAGCTTTCGAAATTTTTTGTCGCGACAATCGAGAGCTTTAAAGTTGTGTTGAACCTAGCTGAAGTTTTGAGACAAATTAATCTGCTTTAATTCTACGAAAGCTTTATAATGAACTATGTGCGATGTTTAGAAGAAGCTGTCTGCGCTTTTGTTTTCTCTTTTTATGGGAAATTTAAAAAGTGGGATTCTTTTTGTTTTAATAAATGGTTAAAATTTTCAAGTTTTGAGACTTAATCTTATTACTTTTATTGAAAGCACTTGGAAGGCTTTATTTCGTACAATTTCTTGTATGTCAGCTTTATAATGAAATATAAAGACATTTAAAAAGAAGCAGTCAAATTTGTGCTCTATTTTAAAATTTTTTGAAAAAAGTTGTCGAACATGACGCAAGTTTTGAGAGATATTAATCTTATTGCTGTATTTGAAAGCTATCGGAAAGCTTTATACTGCGTCATTCGAACTTTTTATGTTTATTCTTTTTATGGGAGTTTTAAAAAGCTTTCTAAAAATAGTTAAAATTTTCGAGTTTTGAAACTCAATCTAGTTACATTCGTTCAAAGCTCCAGCTATATATCGGACCGTTTCTTCCATGACAGCTTATAATGGACTATGACGGATTTTTAGAAGAAGCTCAAATTTGTTTTACTGTTCTCTCTTTCCATGGAAGCTTCCGAAAAGCTTTTCAAAAAATATGTCAAACTTGGCGCAAGTTTTGAGATATATTAATCTTCTTGCTTTATCTGAAAGCACAGAAAGCTTTAGAGGGGACCGTGAGAACTTTTTAAATATGTTTTGGGTTCCCAAAAAGCTTTTGTAAACTTGGCTCAACTAAGCTTTAATTTCTTTCGAATAACAATACCAAACAATACCAGCAACAACTTTTCACTTCAAAAAAAGGTGTGCCACGATCTAAACGATCACCTAATTTTATCAGCAGATTTTTATGTTGGAAAAAGTTGGCATTTTTTGAATTCCCGAATCATTAATGCAATCACAAACAAGCACAAAATTCACCGACAACATCATCAACCATTTAATCTGATTAACGGCAATTACTTATTTGCTTTTTGTTTCAATTTCTTGCTACGAATCAAACAAAAAGCTGTGAAATCGCTAAATGCTGAGCGCCAATAGGCGTGGCAACGTCAGCGCGTTACTCTAACGGTTTTCCACCAATTTTACTGCAACAACAAAATGCCGATCATAAACAAAATCAACGCCTGTTTAATGCATCTGACGCTAGCAACTAATTGTGGGGAAGCACAACAGCAAAACAAGATGAATAACGAAACGAAAACAACAAAAGCAACATTAAAAGCGCTTTAGTAGCATTTTATTGTTGCTTTGATCTATATCGGTGGCTTGTTACAATTATATTTATATTTTTTCTTTGCTAATGTTGTTGCTGTTTGCGGTTGCCAACACTTTCGTTGGTCTGCTGCGCCCAACACTTTTTACACGATTTTCTCTGCTATTTTATTAAGTGTTTTTTTCTTTTTACGTTTTTTAGGGCAATTTCGAATGTGTGGCAAGCTTTGGAATTCTTCTGCTGCTGGAGCGGCAAATCGATTTTCGTGCGACCTAAATCGACAAGCGACGATATTGTGGCAGCAACCAAAAATCCTACATACTTACATACTATATATGTATATGTACATATGCATCTGTATGTGTTGGAAAATATTGCATTCAAATTCAGTTAGACAAGTGCTGAAATTGTAAGATGATAAAAAGGCGCAAGTGTTGACAACATAAAAAAACAACAATGTGTTATGCTTGATTTTTTGTATGTACCAGTAATACAACAGCAGTAAACAAATGCAGACGACAGTAGAGTTGGCTTAACACAAATTTGCTGAGAACCAAATTTTCGGGATTGCGTAATTATCTATGCAATTAAAGGTAGCTAAAAATTTAAGCAAGGAAAAAAAAAATAATTTTCTATGATTGCCAAATGGAGTGATATTTCGGGATTGTGTTTGAAAATCCCGTTCGGAATATTTCAAGATGCCAAAGTGGTTTATGAACGTCACAAACGACTAGTATTTTCCATTGTAATACTCTGACAAGTAAACGAGTTTCAAAAAAAAAATTACGTTTTTTAATATTTTTTTTTTTTTAACAAAATGAAAAACGGCGAATCTCGAAACCTAGTGTTTGTAGTTGCGCTCACCCGAAAATTTTTTGTTGTTTCAGAAACACTTTCAAGCTAGTTAACTCTATCTAAGAGGGTTGTTTTTGATGATCTTTTAACAATCTCAAAAAAATCGGGATCCCGAAATTAAAATTTTAAATTAAAAGTTCATCGAAAATTTAGTACATTGCATTTTATCCGTTCGGAATATTAAGTTCCAGCTATGCTTTCAGCAATCCCGAAAAAATCGGTATCCCGAAACTAAAACTTTAAATTATAAAATCATTGTAAGCTTAGTACAATGCATATTTTCCGTTAGAACTGTCAAATTCCTGCTATTCTTTTAAGAATCCCGAAAAAATCGGGATCCCGAAATTTAAATTTTAATTATAAATAACTTTTTTATATTTCAACCGTCAAATTGTTGTTGTTCTTTTAATACATGTAATTCCAATACATTTTTAGGCTGTTTGCCGCCGACAAGTAAATCGCGAAACCAAAATATAAAATAAAATACAGGTAAGACTAAAAACAATTTGTGTTATTCTCTGCTGCACCAAATATATTTGTTTTTGTTGTTATGGTTTGCTTCTCTCTTTTCGTTCCTACAGGCGTTACAAACAGCGCGACGGTCAACGTGCTTTTCCTCACATAGCAAGAATCACGATTTCTAAGGCAACATCTAATAAAACAATAACAGCCGCTATAAATAATTGCAACAGCGACAACAATATTCAGAAGAATAGTTGAAATTAAGAAATAGTGAATAAGACTGGCAGAAGATGAAGGAAAATTTAGCAGGCAAAATATATGTATATTTTTTAAGAGAGATGGAAAATAGACGGAGCATGCTGGTGAAAATAAATAGATATTTTTTGACACTTGGACTTTCTTTTCAGTTCTGAGCAAAGAAATAGAGGAAAAAAGAAAAACCACTCAGAACAGAGTTTTTTGTAGAAGACGAAGAACACGTAGAATATCTTCTTAGCGGTTCCAAGATTTTATATAACAAAAGAATCACAATTATCGGTCGCGGCGATTTACGATGTCTCGAAATTGCGCATATAAAACTTTTCGAATTCATAGACTTCATCAAGACCACAGATTGTAGAAGACACAGTTCGTTTTTTCTTTTAAAAGATCAAATAGAGCATAAATGTGAATTTCAATTTCGCAGAAGCTTTCGAAGCGAAAAATTACCGCGGTTTTGCAAACTCAGTAAACAAGTTACAAGAAAAATAAGATCAAGTTACACTGCTATAGGAGATATGACAAATTTTGGGTGAACAAGAAAGCACCTTTTAGTTCATGTGACACCTTAGCTCTGGCGCTCTGAAAAAGCTTCACATACAGCACCCAAGCGTTATCCCTTATGAAATGGCATGCGATTTTCAAATGCAATTATTAGCGCACGTCAGTGTAGTTATTATAATATACTAACTTCACTTCCAAATTCACTCAGTTCAGTGTCCTCAACTCCTTCAAGCCAATTTTTATTACGCAACAACTCCTTCGGGTAATCAATTGACTCTCAAACTGCCTAGTAATTTTCAGCTGTCTCACATGAGAGTCGCTGCCATGATTCATGTGCATGTAGGCATATTTGCTAGGAGGATTTATAAATTCAACCTGCCGGCTATTTGAGTATTTATGTATTTATTTTAGCATTACAGGTGAATCATAGGAAATTTTGAAGCGAACAAATGTAAAGCAATTAATTGAGAAGGTATTACTAGGCGTAAGCAGAGAGAAGCAGGCGTTAAAAAGCAATAAAATATTATAAGATCAAGAACAATGACCTTGAGATAAATTTACTTAACGATTGCTATATGCTTGTTGGAGGCGCGTCTTTTGCTTGCGGTAGGCGCTTTGATTTTAACCGGAAAATTGAGGATTTTATTGCTTTAAGATGCTAATGAATTTTAAGGATAGATTTTCATTTCTCAAATATAATAAAGATCACAAACGATCAAACGTCCCTAATCTTTTGCAAAAGCGACGTCGTGTAGAAGTCGCAAAAGAGATGTTTGAAAATGTAGCAAGCCACTGTGACCGCATTAAGACTAGTGACCAGCTGTATCTTTATAGATATGACAACGAAACAGTCCAACTATCTGGCGAACAGCCGTCCAAAATGAAGTCGACATCAGAAAAAACAAAAGTCACTGAAATCACTGAAAGCCATCGCAGTCGGAGTCATTATAGGATAAGCTGCCATACAAACTGAACAATCGGAATCAAGTTTTATAAGGAATCTGTGAAAGGTACGTAGTTTACCTTTTATATTTCGCGATTTGCAACCCCAGTGTTGCTGTCCCGCAACTCGCAACTTCATCGAAAAACTTGACATTTCTGATGTTATACGTACACAGAACATTTTGACATACGAGCGATATTTGTGTTGCTTACAGTAACTTGAAATATTCGTCCCAGCTATAAAATATACATATATAAAATGCGAACATTCTCGCGCTATTATATTAACACGGCGTGGATTAACACTACGACACTGCATCATTGAACTTAATTCAATTTTTGGCCATGAAGTTGAGTTTATCAGTGTTATGATTGCCTGTTTTTGTGGCAAAAATGGACTTGTCGCAACCATACTACTGGATCAATGCAGAACAGCAAATTCTTATTGGTACACAACCATTTTTCTGCCAGTTGGCTTTAAAGAAATCAGAGAAACCAATCACCGAAGACGGTTTTGAGTACTCAAATCATTAAATTGTCGAGTAATCCACTGTAAAGTCTTGACTTGATACCGATTGGCTTTTTTTTTATTCCCGTACGTAAAAGATAAACAATTAGGTTAACATTTCCGATACATACAGAATCGGTTGATGCATTCAAAATGCATGCTTTTGAGATACCGCAATCAGAGTGTCAAAAGTGCTTCAAGAATTACTGCAAACGCATGGAAAAATGCATGGAATTTATTGGAGCATATTTTGAAGAACAGTAAGCCGATTTTCGATAAATAAAATTAGTTTTTGTTCTATTCTTTTTCCCGAAACATAAAGGCAAGCGTCGTATTATTAACTGAAGTTATCGTTTTTTTTTCTTTGTTTTTTGTCAATCCGGGTCAAATTTGATCAAATGATATTAAGCTCAATATATGATTAGTAAACTTAAAGCTATGTTGAAATCCCAGTTTGTGGTCAATAAATTATATAAATTCTTTCATTCTTTTTACTAAAGTGTTCAAAGATGAATATAAAACTTCACCTACTAGACTGTATGTTTCTCTCTGTATATTTATTAGTTGTAAAACTTTCTTATCAAAAAACATATATGCAAATATATTATATAATACCTAACCTTGAAATAAATCACCAGTTTCGACATTTGTCTCCCAATATAAAGCATATTTTATAAATAATATTGAAGAATGTGCACAAGAAGGACACGTAATTTCCATGTACTGACCTTTCTTAAGGTTTCTCAAGTTATGTCAAAGTCAAAAAGTTAATTTATAAACAATAACAAAAGCTTAAATATGTTTTCCTTAAAATTTAACAGTTATTTTTATTGCGGATTACTTCATTCTGTTCTTCAATAGTTTAACTTTACATACAAAATTCGCTCACACGCTTAAAGCTTAACAGCGCTAAGCTGGCGAGCGTTCTTTCATATTTAAATGCCATTAAGTTTCATTAAAAACATTTCGAAATAATAATAAAATATCCATAATCTGCTAATAATGTCTCAAATGCAAATATCTTTGTATATAATTATAAAGTCACAAAATCAGCAAGAAATCAAATTGCCCGCCATTAATCATTAAACTCATTAACAAACAATCTGTTTCTTCTCTTCAAAATTAATAGCAGTCAATGAAAGAGATTAGCACCCACCTGTTTTCTGTAACGCAGTTGATATCTGCTATTTAAGCTTCTTTACCTCGTTATTGTTGTTGTTACGCCTACTGCTGAAGCGTGTCGTATAGCTAGTTAGTGTTTTTTTCGGAAAGAAATTTTGTAAATAGACGCCCACTTGTATGCTATTATATATATATTATATTAACTATATTAATAGTTGTTTGCAGCAATTAAAATATTGAAATTTATATATTTATTTGCTGCTGCTTCTTCCAAGCTTTGAATGGGTTTAGTATTTTGTTTTAATAATATTTCCTTTGCGTTGGTTTCTTGAAAATGCTGTAAAGATAAGCAGAAATGAAGTTTCGCTTAATTTGCATTTTCAAAAAAGAAATTAAAAACTTTTGGAGCTAAAATAAAATATATATATGTATAAGAAACATAAACATACAATATATATCAGATCAAGTAGCAACAATAAGACATTTCAAACAATTAAATATGCAAATACGAGTATTTCAAAGCGTCTCTTTTAAAGTCTATGAATAAACTTATTTTGGAGATTTTTAAATATTTTTAGAAAATTTGCAAATAAGTGAATAAACAGAGATAAGGAAAGATAAAACTGAATAAAGTAGATAAAATAAGATATGCGATAAAAGCAAAAAAGAAGAATCAATAAAAAAGTTAAAAGTATAAGATAAGAAGAGATATATAAATCAAGATAAGAAAAGAAATATTGAAAGACCGGGTAAGATAAAAATTGTCTTATAATAATATCATATTACATCTGAGAAAATACAACACAAAATAAACAACTAAGAAAGGCGCAAATTCAGATGCAAATGATCATTTTATAATCACGAATTTTTGAAAGATCAAAGTTTTAAATTATACATTTCGAATTGTACAGTAAGGAAGAGCTAAGTTCGGGTGCATCCGATCATTTTATACGCTCGCAACTTCCAACAATCAAAGCTCGGGAAATTCCTGCAGGTCTTCTTACTGGAGAATAAACTACAATCACCTGATATCTTCCTAACTTACATTGAAGAACGTAAACTTATACTAAGTTTTATTGCTATATTTTAGTTCGTACCTAAAATTATATTCAAAATATCTTCAAATGATAAACGTTTGATAACTTTGGAATTTCCTTCTTTCCTTGTTTTCGCAGATCAATGAAAATTACACCATCCTCCTCAAATCTTCATACCTATGATCACCACCTTGGTTTTCCATTGATAATTCCAAAGTGGTAACTTGACCGAACAGGCTGAATTTAATGTAATGTGATGAATAAAAGAGAAAAACATCAACCAAAAGATCGGAAGTCATCGTTTTAGAGAAAAAAGGTTTTAAGTAAAGACCGAGTCCACATTACACTAGAATAACGAAAATCTGTATACATATGTATAATCTATAGTATATGGGAGCTGTTTGGCCTAAAACCATTATTTTACATATTGCGCTGGTAGCTCATGGCTAAGTATCCTCTGGGTCGCCAGAAAACATCCGTTTGAAGGCGAGTTATCCCTTCTCAGAGTTGTGTGCTGGGTTTGGGACCCGCCACGTGAATAAAAAACATCCAAAATGAAAACGACACAACAGCCTGGGATGAGAGGATCATGGTCATGTTGTCAGAATGGATGAAAACACTCTAGCTCAGAGAGTATTCAACGCAGTACTAGCCAGGCGAAGCAGAGGAAGGGCTCCACACCGTTGGAAAGTGCTTCATTTACAACAATCAGCCGACGCAAGCATTAGCCAAGCCATAATTCTTGATCAGAGTTTACCAACCTAAGCCCTGGTTGGATTGCCAGCGAATTAACTGCTCTTCTACGGCCAAGATTACAATTTATGCCAGTATTATCGACAGTTGGACTGTCTGAAGGAAATAAAGTAATCACCAAGAAGAGGACAGCTTTAGCCCATAGAAGA